CCATCCCGCTTCCTTGCCACATGGTTAAGGCGCTCAGGCCTGGGGATGTTTGAAATCCTCAGTGTTTCCCACACATTTTTCTGAATGGCACCCACCCTCAACACAACGGCGTGTGCCGTTCACAAAAAACCACATTAGTTACAGTCCTTGACTTGGCTTTGTATTCAGTGGGAAAGAAGGAGGCCCATCTGGGGGAGGCAGAAAACTTTTTTTCTTTTGAATTCTTGCATGTGCCTTTTTTTAAAAAAAAAAAATCAACATCTGGCAATCATGCAGGAGGAATGTCTTTCAAAGCCACGCTGGGCACTAAAAATCACACGCTCGGGCAAAATTCGGAAGAGCCTGTGACTCGGATGAGCTCTGAAACGAGCAAATTGCACCAGAGTGTTTATGTTTTTATTGCCCTTATATTCCCCCTTTCTTCTAAAGCCGGGCGGGGGGGGGGGGAGGAAAACCTCCCCATTTTTCCCCATCATAAAAGCCTCCAACCCTCTCCTGAAAAAAAAAGAAAAAATATCCCGTTTCAGTACAATCAGCCTTTTCTAGGCTACATCGGTCTGCAAAACTTCAAATGTCGTTGCTTTAATTTCTCCATTCGAAAGTGTGCAAGGCTTTTGAATGCGAAATACTTAGCGTCACAACAACTTTGCAAGGTAGGCTAGGCTGAAAGGGGCCCAGGTTTTGCTCTCTGCAAGGACAAGCTCTTTTCCTATACTGTATGAATTCATGAGATGCTCCTACGTGATAAACATATCTCAGTTGGAGGCTGGGTGGGCGGTTTCTCCTGAATTTGTAGACTCTATTAAGATCTAGCACAAACTTGGGGAAGTTTGAGTGATCTCTGAAACAACACTATGCCAGCAGTGCATATTGTTAAAAAAAAGTCTATATTAAAAAGAAATGGCCCCAAAGAGAAATTTTGCATGTTATAGCAAGAAATTTGCCTGTACTTACCTCCCCATTGAAAGTTGGAACGTTCAGGGTCTAAAAACCTTGACAGATGTGGGGAAAGGGAAGGCAAAGGAGAAAAGGAGATCTTATTTGTGAAGGGGGGGGATATTTTATTTGATCCAGAGGGAGAAAGAAAAAAGAGGGGATTGAGCTTAGCAAAACAATAAAAGCCAGTTGGAGAGGTTTACCAAAATTGAGGCAGTGCAGTGCAGTGGATGGAAGCTTAGCCTGAGTTCAAACCCTCCGACTCACATAGCAAAGTGCACTAGATGAGTTGGGACCAGTTTCTCCCCCTTGTCCTACCTTGCAAGGTTATCGTGAAGCCGGCAGGAGGGAAACCTCCCCATCTTCTTCCTGTCTAGTTCAGGACGTCTGGATGGGGTGCAATCGTTTCCTTTTGAAAGACAGAGACAAATATGAGATTTTCTTTGGCCGACCAAGAATGGAGAAATGATCGAAAGACAATTTCAGCATCTGGAAATTTTCTCTTCCAATGACTTGGAGTTCCCTCGTATGCCACCCAGAGCTGCTGAGAGTTGGGGGGCAAACAAGTTTAATCTATTATGGCTGGGCGCACCGTCAGGCAGATGTTGAGACCGGGTTTTGCCTTTTTTTCCCCCCATCGGGGCCTTCCCCAGGGCCCTGGATAGGGG